GTCCCTTCAGGTATGTCTCCTGTCATAAATACTTAATTAGTCTTTCTCTTTGGTTGACAATCCCTGACTATTTCTGTAAAATATTTAGTTGAATGCTGTGTAGAGGATGCTATTCTAAGGCAAAATAACATAGACAAGAGCAGTTTGCTCACAAAAATGTATGAAGAATATGAGTTATTTGGAATCCTGTTCCTGAGTGACTGCCAAGTTTTGATTTTATTCAGAGCATCTAATTAAGAATTTGTATTTTTTTGCATCAGGAAAGCGATCGTCCAGATCTGAGTAACTTCATGGAGAGTGGAGAGTGGGTGATGAAGGACTACCGTGGCTGGAAGCACTGGGTTTACTATGCTTGCTGCCCTGACACCCCCTACCTGGATATCACCTACCACTTCCTCATGCAGCGCCTGCCTCTCTACTTCATCGTGAATGTCATCATTCCCTGCTTGCTCTTCTCCTTTTTAACTGGATTAGTGTTTTACCTACCCACAGATTCAGGTACGTGAATTTATTCATTCTACTGCCATAGAAATTGCTCTTCTAACAAGCTTCTGAGAAATTCTCAGTATTTGAAATCACCAGCCAATTTAAAGGAGAATGCTTCCTAAAATTAGATGTTTCAGCTCAAAATAATGGCTGTAAATGTTCTGCAAATAAAGGGTAAGTGCTGAAAGCTGAAACTATTGACATAAATAAACTTTACCAGTTTCCCGCAGAAATCACTGATTATCTATCGAGGTAACTTCTGCAAAACAAACAATTAGCTAGCTGATTTTTGTTTTGCTGTAAGTGGGTAGCATGTTAATACGTCACGCAGTAAGTGAGCACACAAGGGTGGGTGAGGCTCTTCTGTACTGTGTTGGAGAAGAGAGCTTGTTATCTGTTCACACAAGTTACCTCATGTGACACGAAGAGTAATCATGGACTCTTCTGCCCTCCTTTGTCCCTGCTGGGCAGCTCTTGCTCCCTGCAACCATTTCCTCTGCTTCATTCATTTTACCTTGTCGGCTTTTCATATTGCTTAATTTTATTAAGCTCCTTCTATGAAATACTTCATGTATTTCTTTTTCAGTGGAAAACTTTATAGAAAGTTGAACTGAATAGAAAAAAGATGAGTGAATCTGTTTTGTAGTTCAGTTTTGACATCCTACGTACTGGGAGATCTTAAATATCAACTGACCTCTAGTGTCAGATGTGATTTTTGTCTGCCCACTCAGCCCAGCATGAGCCTGCCAGAGCGTAAGGCAAGCAAACCCCCAGGAGGCTGTGGAGAAAGCATTAATCGGGCACATATGCTCCATCATTCAAAATGCTCAGCCCATGAAGCATGCCTGTCAAGTAAGCTTTTCCGTATCCATCACCCATACCTCAGCCCTGTCATACCTGGCAATTCCCACCTTAATGCTGGAGCTGATGCTGTGTTAGGCTCTCAGGTTTGGCCAGCCTAGTTACTGCTTTGGATGCTGGGGGAGTTGACAGCATTTCAGATGCATACACATGTACTTGTGTCAATAGCCATCATCCATATCCTATCTTCTCAGATGAATACTCTCTGTACTGAATGATAGGAGTAGCAATAGTATGTTTTTGTTTTGCTGTTTTGGTTGGGGTTTTTTTGTGTGGCAGGTGAGAAAATGACTCTCAGCATCTCTGTCCTGCTGTCTTTGACCGTGTTCCTTCTGGTCATTGTGGAGCTGATTCCCTCCACCTCCAGTGCAGTGCCTCTGATAGGCAAATACATGTTGTTTACAATGGTGTTTGTCATCGCTTCAATCATCATCACAGTCATCGTCATCAACACCCACCACCGCTCCCCAAGCACTCACACCATGCCACACTGGGTCAGAAAGGTGAGCTCTATGGCTTTGCATGTTTCCTGGTTTCCACTAGGCACTCTATATTTTATTGGCAGGTTTTCTAATAAAAGTCAACAAGAATTGGGGAAGTAAATGCATCACATTAAATCTCTCTAAACACAAGGGCCAGTGTTTACTACTTAGCTGTGCATAAAGTCAGCAAGACTGCTAAAGTGCTCCTTTAAGTAACAAAATCGTCCACTGGGGTAGAGTCTCGCAGGGAACAGATGAGGCAAAATGTGGGCAGCTGAATGTACAAGGAAAAGAAATTGTCCAGCTGGACTCAAGTTATGTTTCCTGGTCTAATTCTCCATGTGACTGCAAACCACTGCCAGTGGTCAGGTTCACCAGCCCATGTGAGTGCAGAGCACGAAGGCCATTGGGGATACCTGCATTCAGCACTCAATTTCACAAAAGACAGTTTAGCAGAAGATATGGGCTTCGCTGTCCTTTTCCAGCAAATACAGTTGCTCTGCAGTCCTTGGGAGGCAAGGAGAACCTTGCACAGCAGTCTAAATGGTAAGCACAAGATGCAGAAAAAATTGGATGTCTGTCACTAAAAGTTCTTTGCCTGGGAGACAGTACCGAAGAGGATCCATTCAGTTGTTATTCTTGCCTTTTTTAAGCCTGCCTGGGTTCATATTAAACCAGGACATGAATACGAGTATTTCTGTGTATTTCTAATTATACTTCTAAGGCTACAGCTTATATCAGATTCACTGTACAGCACAAACAATCCCTGCAGAAGGGAGATTTCAACAGGCAAACACTGTAAGTTCTTAAAATTGCTCTGGCAGCAATCCTCTGTTACTCCGAAGGAAATTATTGTAAACCTTATATGTACGTATAAGGAACATCTGTAAAAGCAAAGTCAAGCATAAGTAGAAAAAAAGAGATCCTTTGTAGTCCATTCTTTGAGCCGAATTTGTAAGCGATGTGTTCCAAATTAGATGAGATTGATAGAGCTCTGTCAGCTCACACCAGCTGAGGGTCTGCTCTGGGGCGTTGCACTCCCCTTCGTGTGTAGATGTTGGCTATATGGCAGGGGGAAATGGTTTCCAGAAAATGTGTGACAGGCCTGCGGGTGACTCCATCTGCCCCAGGACATAAGGCTAACAAAAGCCCCAGTGTGACTGAGGCGCGGGCTGTGACATGCTCCAAGAGGGAATCTGTAGCCGATCCAGCGCGGGAAGCGATTTGGGACCAGAGAGGCTTGCCTTTGTTCAGTACACAGCTGCATCTGTAACACAGCCCTGCCGACCAGAAACTGTCTTCTCCCTCTTTGTTTTCAGATCTTTATTGACACAATCCCAAATGTCATGTTTTTCTCTACAATGAAACGACCATCCAGGGATAAACAAGACAAAAATATTTTTGCAGAAGATATTGATATTTCTGAAATTTCTGGGAAGCCAGACTCTGTGCCCGTCAACTTCTACTCCCCACTTACCAGAAATCCAGATGTGAAAAATGCTATAGAGGGAATCAAATACATTGCGGAAACTATGAAATCGGACCAAGAAGCCAGTAACGTAAGGCATTTTTTGTGCATGATTCATTTCTTGCTTTCAAATTGCTACATCTTATTTTTTTGGCAAAATATCCCCACCTCACAAAAACATTCTAAGCCTTGGTTTGGCTTTAGCTGTGGACAGTCTTCTCCCCTTGATGCAGTCAACAAGGAGCAACAAATAGTTGTTGCAGAGAGCAATAGAATTGTGGCCCCAACAAAAAGAAAAAAAAAGTGTCAGTGCTAAGGTTTTTGAGATGTGGTATGTGAAGCTATAGAGATGGAGTGTCTGTGAGTAGCAAAGCAGTTTCAAGAACTGTAAACAAGTTCCAAAACACATTCCTCCTGTCTCCCACTTGGGCATCTTCCCCCTGCGGTAAGGAAGCTCCTGTTGCTTTTGAAAAGGCAGGAAACAAGCTGAACGCCAAAAGGTTAGTAGCTTTATCTGAGAAGTGTTAAATGTAACTTACAAATGATAATTCAGTTTCGATAAGGTTTTATTTTACTGCTGAATGCTACAAGTAGTCCCTGCAAGTGAAGCACGTCATGAGCTACTCCGATTACTGACTTTTTCCACACTGCAAGCCAAAGGAAGGATAATGCGTGTAGAGTCACATATGGCAGTGTTCCCCAGGAAAAATCTAACTCTGCCGCCTTCTAGCACATTCAATGCAATTAACCCTCTCTTTTATGTCAGCTATCACACAGCTTTGGCACAGGTAATTCAGTTCTGGTACTTCATCTTTCTGAATGATCATAGCCCTTTCCTGTTGAGCTGCAGGCTAGCCTGGAGAGGGAGAGAGAGCTCTCTGGGATGATAATTTGACCATGTTCTTGAAAAGGAGGCCTCTCCCTCCCGTGGTCAGAATTTACACCACAGTGTTTGTTCCTGTGACCCAATTTCTGGAGCATGTGGAATGGCTCTGGCTGTAGTCCCATGTTCCTCACAACTCCTCTGCGCCTCTGCAGATAAAGTGTTACCTTCAGTGGGGCTGGCGTCGCTTCAGTGCCTCTGGGCTCCACTTCCTCCTAGGCTTACAGGGAGGATCTTCAGGTTACTGGCAAGTGCTCCCTTCGGAAGTGGAGCCCAGCTGCTTGTGTCATCTGGGCACCACTGATATCGCTTCCAGGGTGTTTCAGAAGTCAAGTTCCCCAAATAAACTGAAGGCTGCCGCTTCGTTGCGTTCACTTATGCACTTATGAACCACATCAAAACAGTATTAGTTATCAGTGTCCTCTAGATAATTTACAACAGCCTCTTCTACTTGTGAGGCAACTAAGACAAAAGCAGAGGATGCCTTAGGCCAGTTCATGTCACTCCATAAGGCAGAGTTAAAGGGTGGAAATCCTGAGCCTTGCTGCACTTAACACCTGGCACTCTGCTTGCTTTAAAGATGGTGGGTTCCCACAAAAGCATCCAGTGAAAACACAGTTGCAGAGCAAGCGGTTCACCATGTTCCACAACTGGAAAAAAGACTGAGAGCTACAAAGAAGGTTTTCCTAGACCTTAGCGAGTATTCTAGGCATGAAATGAAGCAACTAGAGCTAAATTAACAACAATTGCTTAGGTATCCCAAGAGAATTAAAAAGCAAAAGAAAAACAAAAGCCAGTGGGGTCAAACTATGTGTCTTGCTTTCAACGTTCTAAACTCTCTTTCAAAAGCAACCATTTGACTAAAAATTAAGCTTTTCAACATTTCTTTTTAATGAAATCAGTCACCAAATTGCCAGGGTTTCTAAATAGTTTAGTCTCGAAACTTGTACTTCTAGGTTAGGCTTTCTCAACCACTGACCTGCTTTTGAGAAGAAAATTAAGTTGTTTTTGCTTAACAAAAGTGGAAGCTAAGGAAGAGCCTTTCCCTTGTTCAAGCTAGTAAATTACAAGAATGCCCATAACAAACATGGCTCTGCAGAGAATTTTACCATCTCCTTTGTTTCTTTCACAGGCTGCAGAAGAATGGAAGTTTGTTGCGATGGTGGTTGATCATCTTCTCCTTGGCATATTTATGCTAGTTTGTATTATAGGAACATTAGCTGTATTTGCTGGTCGCCTTATTGAATTAAATCAGCAAGGATGAACATCAACTGGAAACTATTTGCTACCCTGGTCAGCATCTGAAACATCTTAACCATCAAAACCTGTCCAGCCTCGGAAAGTTTCACAGACAGGAATTGGTCCCTGCTGGGAAAGAGCAGGGATAATAAAACATAAGGCTCCATACTTAGCACTTCTGAGCTGCTGCTCTGTGGCATTTCATTGCCAAAAAGAAACACTTGTGTTACTGGTAGACTGAATGGCTGTCAGCCAGGTTTTGATCCATTTTACCTTTTATTAAAAATCTTAATGTATTAATAAGACTGTCTGACTTTGTAGCCCACAGATACAATTCCAGTTAAATCAATATCAGTGTAATGAGCTTTAGCTGAGCTGTAAATCTGTATCCAACTTCAGTGTTCAAGCTGGTTTCAATATATGCTCTGTAGTTTTTACTGGCAGAGTCACAAATGACTCCTCTTGTAACACTAGATGTAACCAGCAGAAATATCTCAAACTCCATGCTTAAGTATTTGATTTTTCATGCACAAAATTGACAAATAATTGACTGTCATACATGACTCTACCTGGAGAAACTCTTGATGCAGCAAAGAGTAGCAACTGTTCCTTACTGTGGGAAGGATCCAGTGTCAGCCAGTTGGGTCCCACAGGTATTTTTTGTTGTCAAGTCCCGTAGTAAAGGACTTGTAGAGGATTTTTTGCCCCATTCTATCACTGAGCCTTGCTCTGTGACCATTGGGTATCCTAGTGACTACGTGGCAGTTGCTACCCTCTGATTAATACTGTTAATACTCGTTATAAGAAGCCCTATATTCATTATGCATTAACATTCAGGATTTTCAGTTGTCAACAGAGATGTTCTGCAATAGCATCCTAAGGGAAAAGTTTAGGCCAGAGGGGAAAGGATGGTATCCATAGGACAATCTGTACCCAGCCTACTCTGCTCCGGGAAGGTTGGTTTCTACTCTGCAGTTTGAGTGATGACTAATGTGGGGGCAGCTTCAAATTTGAGGGTGCTCAGAATGACATCTTAAACACAATTCTCTCTGTTCCCTGAAAACTGTCCCTTGCCTTGCTGAAATAGATCATGAGCACTGAAGCCAGACATAGAATCACAAAGATCATTCCTAGGGAAAGCGTGGATCTGAGTTTTACTTCTGTGTGACAAAATGACAGGGCACCGCCTCTTCTGAATTACCCGAACTTTATTCAAATGTTGAGCAGCAGCTCACTCTAGTGGCTAAAATAAAGTAGTGCTGCTTTTGGCTAAAGACCAGTATTCAGCATAAGAAACAAGCCTATGCGTCGTTCACTAATACAGCGTGGAAATACTAGCAGCGCTGCCTACTTTTCTCATAAATAAATAAGGAGAGGTAGGTGGGGCAACTGACACGAGTTACTCATCTTTCCCAGCTGGTTGTCCAAGCCAATAGGACTACTTTGCTAACAGCTGTAAATAATTTGCTGTGAGTTTAGTAAAATAATTTCTATTATGTTAATGCTCTACAGGAATGTGTCATGTCTCCAGAGGACAGGCACGTGAAAAGCTCTATAGGGAAAATTAAGCACTTGTGCAATACTTCCATCATTGTGTAGTGTTTGCTGGACAATGTTTTTTGTGAGCTGCAGCCCTAAGCAAAGCAAACAGTTTGTCTGGGGCAATCGATCACTTGTAACACTCTGGCCAGCTCTTACAGTTTAGAAGATGGTAATCTTTGCCTCCCTGGATGATCATTAACCCTGTAAACGATTGCTGAAGATGTATGCCGGGTGAAACCTCTGTGACAGATGGAGTGCTTGCTGCAGCTCTGTTTATCTTCAGCGTTTTCTCAACTCTTAGTCCTTAGACGGAGTGAGGCAGCTCCCCAGCTCACAATGAGCTAAATTGCAGAGTAATGGTGCCTGGGACTTAGTTTGGGAGACTGTGATTGGCACTAAAATTGACAGAACAATCCCTTTAGAGCAGCATGTGATTGAATCTCAGCATTAAAAATAAACATCAAGTAACAAGATTCATGATGAACATCTACAGTATCTTTGTTCAGCTTTCCCAGCTTCCTCAAGGCAGATCTGGGTCTTGGCCTGCAAACTCCACCTATTTTTGTGTGCTGGGGTGCGTGTGCGCACCCGTGTGCCTGCCTGCTCTCTTCTCCAGCTCCAGCTTTCTTCATACACACCTAGTTACCAGCTTGCACTGTTTTCCTTCCACTTTCTCAGAAAAAGTTTTGAAATTATTTATTTGAAAAAAAATTTTTGTGGCAGTCTGGTCTGTCTTATTGGTACCGCAGATCTTCTGTCTTCCTATTGCTCTGAGTCTTGATGAAGTACTCATGTCTCAAAAGATGTGACATCAGGCAAAAATAAATGCTAACAACCTCCCTTCTTAGAGAAATACAGGTGGTGTACTCTGACTCTCCAAACAGATGGTCCTCCAAACATCAATAAGCACACAGGAGACAGTTCATCTGCGTTTTTATTTTTTTCTTTGCTTTGAACATGCAGACTGTCCCAGTCTTCTTTATTCTCCGTTCATAGCTCACCTTTGCGATAGGTTTTTCTTGCATACCACTAACATCTCCTGTTAACAGTATCCATCTACCAAAGGAGAGTAACACACAGACTATTCCTTCTGATCTGCCACTGTCCTTTTAACATGTCAGCACATCCGTACGCCTGCTAAAATAGTAGCTTTGGAGTTTGTAAATGTGCTGTCTCAGTCACTGTTAAAGATAATTTGCTGTCAATGGGTAAGTACCTATTGTCTAATGATTTTTCATTTACAGCAGTATAGTATCTCCCTGAAATCTTAACATGGAAGTCTCTGCTCTCCTACATGGGTAGCACCAGCAGCCCCAGGGAGACAGCCCTGGATAACACTCCTGAGACCCACACGTGTATCTGTGCTGCCTCGTTGCCTTCAACAAGAAAATTTCAGTTCTGAGCTTTGACTGACAATTCTCATGATAAACGAAACAAGAAACAGGCCTCACACACTCATTGTTAAATTTCCCTGTTAAGTCTAAAAAATAATGAGATGCAAAGCCCTGGTGCTGAAGTAAGCAGACCTCACTTAAACGAAGGCAGACCGGGGGCCTCTGGGTGAGAAGGTGTTGCTTTCATAGTGGTAGTACCCTGAGCAGTTAACTTGTCCTGCTTTTAACTGCCATCTTCTTGCTATTAAAGCTGCTTTTGTTCACTTTGAGTTTATTGGTAACACCCTATTTATGTCCCTAATAAAATAGCTCTCTGGAACGTCTCCATCTTCTTCAGTCTGATTCTCTTTCCAGTTTTTAAACAATTTGGCAATTAACTTTCCCCTTCCCATCCGTTTAGCTGACCTTCAACTACTTTCTACTGTGCCACGGATATTTTGCTCTCAGAGATGCATTCATGCCCAAATCTCTTTACCCTTTGGCACTTGTGCTGTTCAGAGGACCTGACCCTTCTGAGGGGGTTATTTGAACTTTTAAAGTCCGCTACCTTGTACCAGCTCCAAGGGAGCTATTTTACCTCAGTCTGAGTCTGTAATCAGAACAGGCTGCTGCTTTCCATTGTCACCAGGCAGATGAGCTAAACTTGATGGCCTTGTTCTGTCTATTCAGCCAGCTGGATCTCAGCTTTGTAAAACGTAGTTGAGCTGATCAGCAGAGTGAGCAGAAAATTTACATTCACTGAACTCTAAACATTTGATCATCAGCTTGCATAAGCCATATGTGATCATTTACCTGCAGCTAGTGCTCAGGTCCTGAAGCCTCCTTCAGTTTGAGAGTTTTTAAGAAATTGGATTATCATTTCAGGCAACTGTAAGTCAATTGTAAGTCAATTTAAGTACTCATTTTTTCTCCAGGATGTAAGTTGCTGCCAGCCTCCTTGCCGTGGCAGTCTCCCCAGAGATGTGTGAAAGCAGTGTGAGTTTCATCAGTGTGCTGAGTCAGCAGTTCCTGTTGCCACAGCTGAAGCAAACCACAGTGGGTAGGGACAGCAGGGCAAAAGAGTGTGTGTAACACAGGACCGGCAAAGTGCATAAACACTGTGCTGCTATTGCAGAAAGGAAGCACATTGCCACCCTGAAAAGTTTGTTTTCTGGTATGATGGCATTCAAGATGTCACTGATCCTTTAGCACATCAGAAATGCTTTTGACTTTGGACACTTTAGAATGTTGCTGTGCTTGGATCCAGTCACAAGACCTCACATTTTCATATGTTTACTAGTGCTAGATAAAATCTAGCACAGCCTCCAGGCCCCCAGGCACACTTCTGGGTATAAATTCCCTCCCTCCCTCTTTCACTTCCTGAAAAATTGTGAAATCAGTACAAAGTCTCCCAATCTTCCCTCAGATGAATGTTGCACAGACAGTGACTTCTAACAGAGCTCTGGAGTACTTTCTCCCTTCCTGGAAGTCAAATCCCAACTACAAATGGACCAATCATGCACTGCTTTGCAAAAGATTCTCCAAAACCATCGTGGTTCAGTCCCTGACAAAGTATAAAAGACTGGCAGAGCTATGAGAAACAGCCAACCTGCGAGCAACCATTTCCATGCTCATTGCGAGAGCCCTGCTGAGTTCCATTGGGTTACTTACGACAAGGACAGGACAGTTTCACTTGTTACCATGTGACAGGCCAGACTGACCAGCAGGCACGAGTCCAAAGGAGTTTGTAGGCTGCTGCAGCACAGTGGTGCTTGGTCACTCAGTGGATTACCCATAAAGGGAGAACTGTTTCCTAGCAAGGACTGCACTGTTTCCTGTCATCCCAGTACAGATGTCCCATTGCAGCACATCTTCCCAACTTCTAACAGCTGAGCAGATCTGTATCAGTGTTGCTATTTATCCCGTGTGAAACCTGGAATAAACACATCACATGGTATTTCCCCCATATGTAGACAAGAGGAAGCTGTTTGCCTCTAGGTGACTTTCCAGCTAACCAATGACCCAAATGCAGTATGTTGTGCTTAGTTGCCCCATGTGGATTTGTGACCCTCTTTAGGGAGCTTTAGGTCTGTAAAGGCAGTAAACACAGAGCACCTGCAGTTTTT